GTTTTATTCCCCCTGTTGTAGGTGGCAGGTGGAGGCTAAAGCTAACCCTTATGTGTGGATACCTCGTGGTGGGCTCAACGAGGATTCCTTTACGCTGCGATCGTAGTTTTTATTTACAACTCTCACCAAATATTTTTATAAATGAAAGTTTATAATATGTTGTCATAGTTGTTATATAACAATACTTCAACATGTCATGAATAGATATTTATTTCCGCTGTAATCCTGATCACATGTTTACATTCTGGTGTTAGCTTAAATTATCTTAACTCTGTTAACATGTTCATATTCTGCTGTTACATTAAGTTATTCATAACTCTGATAATATAATTACATTCCGCTGTTATAGTAAATAAATATTATACTCTGATGTTGTACTAAAAGTGATGTAAGAAATGGTTAAGAATGATGTAAGCTTTATTCTCTTATTTGTGATCCTGGTGACAAAAATATGGATTTTCGGGTTCTCCCCTGGGGTGTGCCCGACGGAACCGAGTAATTTGATGTCCTCCTTTGGGTGCTTAGTGTCTAATGGAAGACGAGCACTCCTGTGAGACATTAGATTAGGCGGTTCTGCCACAAGCGTGGCAGACGAAGCACGTGAGCCGCACATTTCAACAAGCCTGCCACGCTCGCTTGCCGGTCGCGCAACACCCGCTCGGTCGCGCCGGTCGTGCCGCGCCGCTCGCCTGCCGGCACCGCGTGCGCTCGGCCGCGGCACCGCGCTCGCCCGCTGGCTCCGTGTGCTCGCTGCCGCATGCGCTTGCTGGAGCCGCCGCGCTGCCCGCCGGCACCGTGTGTGCTCCTCCGCTACACGGCGCTCGCCCGCTGGGCGCTGGCTCCGCGCGCTCGCGTGCTTGTTGCCGCGTGCGCTTGCCAGAGCTGCCGCGCTGGCCCGCCGGTGCCGCCACGCTCGCCTTCCGGCACCGTGTGCGCTCCTCCGCGGCACGGCACCCACCCTCAATGGGTTCGACGTCCTCGTCAAGCTATCGAACTAGCTTACCCATACGGGATAAATGCTCGGGATCGACTCTCTTGGCCCACGTCCGTATTCCCAGCTCCCCAGCCCAAGTGCCATGCTCTTGTAGAGCCATGCGCAACCCATCCGAGCTCCCGAGCCACACGTCCGTAAAACCGCGAGAGTTGGCTCTAAATACCATTTGTAACATCCCAGGCCCGGCACACGGCACAGACCCACTCTATCAAGGGGTGGGTCCCACCTACATAGTAACTCGTTTGCGTTTTCGTCCTCGCTTCGCACAAAATGGTTAACCGAAGGTTACTACGCGTCCTTGACCTGGCTATTTAAGCTGATTCGGCGAACTCAGAATTCACGGTATGATACTAAACTTCTGGCTGCACAGTGATTTTCCGTAACTACAATAACTCAGCACTACAGTACCCGAATTCAGTCCAGCCTAGTTTAGCGCTACAGCTACAGCAGCCCTGACCCGACCGCAAATTCGGCGCATGAGCTGGGTCTCACAGCTACACCTTTTGTCAGATGGTCTCTCTTGGTCTTCTTGGAGCGAGCAATTTTTGCCGTGTTCAGTTCCAAATTTGTTTCCCAAAAAGTGCTACAATATCCATCACATCGAATCTTGCGATACGTGCATAGAGCATTAAATGTAGATGAAAAAAAAACTAATTACACAGTTTGTTTGGAAATTGCGAGACGAACGTTTTGAGCCTAATTAGTCCATGATTGAACACTAATTACCAAATAAAAACGAAAGTGCTACAGTAACTCAAATTTCAAACTTCCCTCAACTAAACACGCGCTTTCTACTACACGAAGAGACCTGTCTGGTTACTTGGTTAGCGGGAATCTTAGAAAAGGCGGTACGGTGGACGGCTTGCCTTTTTTTTACCTTTTATTAATAACGAACGAATGGTGTGGCCTTTCCGTCATGCCTTTTGATTTTGATCCGCCTTTTCTTGCCGCTCCAAAAAAGAGAAAGGGATTGGCACAGTAGTAGAGTGTACCATATACTCTTAAAAGAATGCAGGAGTAGGACGACTAGCAGCTTTATTGTATTCGTAATCTCCTATCAATGCTATATCTCGATACGTACAGAGGTTGGGTACGGTGTTCATTTTCCATTACTAAAAATAATAGTAATGTAGTCATAGCACTGACTATATGTGGTTACATGATTAAGGGACGAACAAGATTAGTCAGAAAATGTTAACAGTGTAGATAACTGAAAAACTCTGTTAACAGACCATCGTCCAAAGCTAGTTCAAGCAGGCCACGCACTGGAACCCGGGTAGGCACTACTCAAACATTCCAAACACCTGGAGGAAAAAAAATGCTGTTTCACACGTGCGGCTCTATGGTTTTGTGGCTGTAAGAAGGCGGGTGGACACTACTCAAATTTTCAACCAAAACGAAAGTCAACTTTTTGCTTAAAATTCAGAAGTTTGCAGTACGAATTTCACACTTGCAATCCGATACTAATAGTTCGGACTTCCAGCTCAGAGCTTTCACACTTTTGCATCTCATTTTCGCCCTTGTTTAGTTCTCCAAAAGTGCACTATACAAAAAGAAGATTTTCCGTCACATCAAATTTACGGTACATGCATGGAAGTACTAAATGTAGACGAAATAAAAAACTAATTACACAGTTTGCTTTAACTTTACGAGACGAATCTTTTGAGCCTAATTAGTCAATGTTTGTACAATAATTCACAAATACAAATGAAATGCTACAGTGGAGAATCGTGCACTATAGGTGCAAACTTTGCCGAACTAAACGCGTCCTTCATCATCTTAAAGTATGTAGAAAAAGTCTACTCGGTTCAATTTTAAATACCTTTTCATCTCACCATGGTTAGTGTACATCTGTCTGCTTGTCCTACCGGGCTGCTCTCAGTTTACTCCATCCGTTTAAAAAATTGCAATTATAGATTTAAGACAAATGAAACTTTTTAAAGTTTGACTAAATTTTATAGAAAATAGTAATAATATTTAATTGGTATTAAAAATATTAATATTTTTTATAGATTTGGTTAAATTTGAGTCTGACTTTCTGATTGGTGAGAATAATATTCTTTTTTTAGAAATAGAGGGAGTATAGGTCTGCCTAGACATGGCAGGTTGATCTAGACAAATATGTTTGGAACTCTGAGAATGTTACGGGCTATCCTAATGGAGAAACTGCTAGCCCATGACGTGACACGACATCAGACCGGCCGCATTTACTATGTACAGGACCGTGGGCCGCTTGTTTCCCCAGTGGAGGCCCAAAAATGAGACTTCCTTGGGCCTTGCTTCTCTTGGGTCAACGTTTTCTTTTCTCTACGCTAACAAAACAGATAATTACTAAGGTTTCGTCGACAGCTCGCTGAACGTCTACTTCCTCTACGCCACGCTAAGTAGGGCAAACTAAACATACGCAACATTAATTGTGATAAGCTGCAAACTCCCATCATTTGTCTTGTAACCTTAGCAATGGGTGGTACCGTGGTGCTCAGAAATAACAAGACATCATAGACTATAGACAATGCTTGGAAATAAAAGGTCATAGACAATGGGAAGTGCTCATAAATAGTGCTTCAATTCAATAATAAGAATAGAAAAAAGGAGATCATAAATGTAACGGTGATCATCACAGCAGATGCCAAAGGAGATCATGAACGCTATTGCACTCCACTGCACGTGCCAAAGTGAATAGGGAAAGAAGGTAAATGTAATCACTGCATATGCCAATTGCCCCTTAAAGATCAGTAAAATATGTACATGACAGAAATATCATAAAATAATTAAAAGTATACTCATCACAGCTTGATAGGAGCTACACCAACACAAAGAGCTTCATATGGGCATGTAAAAAATAAGCAGCATCAGCCACATGTAAGACCGTGTCAACATCCAAGACTGGTTGTTGTAAAAAAAAAACAAGACTGTTAAAAGATTGTAGATTTTGAATTTCAAAACTTAATAATTTTAAATTAATTTCTGGTACTCTAAATAATTTTAAAATAAAAAACTTGTCAACTACAAAGTGTTAGAAGATTTGAGCTGACCCAAATAATAATTCAAATAAATTCTAAAATCCCACTCACACATGTAGGTATGGTGGGGAACTTTAGTCCCACATTACTACTCTAAGAGGAGTGAGCCAACTTAAATAGTTGAGTTGTCTCCATCAAATTGAAGCTATTGGGAAAGAAAAATGAAGAATTATCACTTGTTCATCTCCCTGAAACCTTCGTCCACCTCATCATATCATATATATATATATATATATATATATACCTATACTTTCTTTGTTGTTCACTATCGCTACTATTCGCTATAACCCTACTATAAGAATGTCTATATTTTCTTGGTTGTTTGATCTCATGTTTCTTTTGTTATTATTACTAGCATTAGTGAGTGTGTTGAATCGCACACCTGTGATACATGTTATTGTTCTTTTTCTCAAAATCAGAATTAATTTGTTCATCACTAAATTGCTATTATTTTCCAAAACAAAGTATCTCATTGAGTTCTACAATTTTGATATAAAATTCATCACCATTTGACTTCGAATAAAAAAGTTGGGTTTTGAAATTATGGATTCTTTAGCGCTTCAATGTTGACTAGAGATCATAAGAGTTGAATAATTGTATTTTGCCTCTCCTAAGTTTTTTTAATGTTATAAACACACTGAAAGATATATTATTTTAATTATATATGTAGCCATAGTTTATAGGTAATTGTATAGAAAAACTATATATCTAGAAAAACCCACATATCTTGTGATTTGAAACGAATTATAGAGTAATTGACGTCATCACGTAGGTAAGTCTGTGTACAAAAAAACGGCACATGGCCTCATTCCCATACGCGACGGGATGGCAATTCCAACTTCGCCGCACCAGCAAGTCGGCGTGCCGAGACCGGGTCGTGTCAGCGCGGAGCCCCTTTCCAACTTCGCCTTCGCCTTCGCCTGCGCCTGCCGCTGCCGAACCCAGCCAACCAATTTCCCAACCCAGAGTCGCGCGCGGCCGAGATGGTTCCGGCCGACGGGCAATCGGGAATCGGGAATAAACCCTCGTGGATTCTCCTCCAAGAAAGAAAAACGAAAAGAAAACTCCCGAACAAAAAAGCACACGCGATTTCGCAAAAGGGGGAAACAGGGGATCTCCGCCTCGGCCGCGCCGACCCGGGGGAAGAGAGGAGCGTGCGAGTGCGACGGCACGCAGGCGCATCTCGTCTCCCGCCGCCTCTGCTTGTCTTCGCCATCGCCACCACCCCAAGGCTCGGTACGATTTGGCTGCGTGCCCGCGCGTCGGCACTGCACCGCGGCGCGCAGGCGGACCGTGCTGGGGTTTTGGTGGGGTGGGGCGTAGGGGAGGGGCGTCCTATGCTCTTCGGCGGCTTGATCCTGTGAAGGCGGCTGCGGCAGCAGGCTTCCCCGATGCAACGGCTACTGGGGGTGGGCGAGAGGTGCGGCTCGATTTTTCCTTTTTCTTCCTTGCGTGCCCTGGTTCTCCTGTCCTCTCCCGGTTGTCGGAGAGGGGAAAGTGAATCATCTGGTGTTTCGGTTTTTGTTAGGAACGGCTGCTTATGCACCATGTAGCCCATGTTTGGTGTGCGGCCTTCTTGATTCGTTTATATTGTTCTGGCAACCTGAACTTTAGTAGCTGTTACAATCAATTGCTACATTTTCACGTGAGCAAACTAGTAGAGTTGGGTTCGCGTGCAGCCCACTTTACCTAATTCTATGAGCAGCCATGACACTTGCTTTGAGACTGTTGTCATCAATTGGTTCTTCTAATTTAGTATTAGTTAGTTAATTCGTGCATGTATGTGTGTAGATAGAGCTTTCTGTTGGTCAGGATAATCTGTTTGGGATTTGAAGTACATTGTTGGAATTTACAGGAAAAAAAATCATATGCGTGGCAATAAACGGCAAGTATTCTGGGTGTAGTAGCAGTATGATCAGGCCAATAATCAACCTGTTCTAGTCACATTTGTTGTTGTTCACATATTTTTTACAAATAGTTTTACCTCGTAAAATTAGCTATATAGCAAGTGCCAGTCAAAGCTTGAAAACTTGCGGGTTGTTGAAATGTTCTGTACCCATCTTTGAGCAGGCTATTGGCAATCGGAACAAATAGGCGGGCAGCCACTTATTCCCATCCGAGCCACAGAAGTGGGTACTACACAGCAGTGACGGACAATGGCTTGTCAACAAGGCGTAAGATTCCAGCCATCTTCTCAAGAATGTTCTCACATTACAAAGTCATTATCAGAAAGAACAGAGCTGAGGATCACAAGTATAGAACCAGGATGTCAAGAGGCTACCACTCACTCTCTGTGCCAGTGGCAAATTCATCTGCAACCCAGCAAGCGCAATTGGCATGGAAGCAGCTCGGTCATAAGTATGCATATAGAGGTCCACGGTTCCCACTACTGAGCCGAGCAGCTTGTGCTGTAAGCCTGTCCTTTACGAGGTTCCATATCATCCCTGGGGTCATGGCTCTAGCTTTTGGCAAGATGGCACTTGCACCTCCTGTCCTGTCAGACTCACGACCCTTCATGCCAAGAATGGATGGCATCATCACAAAGGCACAAGATACTCGCCAGTTTCTGTCATCTCTTGTTTGGTCAATCTGGGAGGGCATGACTTTGCTTGTTAGAGCTGTGCATTTGGCATTCCTATTCTTCCCTGCAACTGCATTAGCTCCATTTGCTGACAAGTTTAGTGTTGCATTCAGAAGAAGGTGGCTTAGTCTTATGCGCCGGACCCTTGAAAAGGCTGGGCCTGCATTCATTAAGTGGGGCCAGTGGGCTGCAACACGCCCTGATCTTTTTCCAAGTGATCTCTGTGTTGAGCTTGCAAAGCTTCACTGTGCGGCTCCAGCACATGGCTTTGCTTACAGCAAGGCTGCCATTGAGAAGGCATTCGGTCGTGAGCTTTCTGAAATATTTGAGTCCTTTGAGGAGAACCCTGTAGCTTCTGGAAGCATTGCACAAATACATCGGGCCACACTAAAACATCAACATCCTGGAAAGCATGTTGCAGTTAAGGTGAGGCATCCTAATGTCGGAGAATCAATCAAGAGAGACTTTCTACTCATCAATCTTGTGGCAAAGGCTTCTAATATTATCCCTGGATTAAGCTGGCTGAGGCTGGATGAGAGTGTTCGCCAGTTCGCAGTATTCATGATGTCTCAAGTTGACCTTTCTAGGGAAGCTGCTCATTTGAGTCGTTTTATCTACAACTTCCGCAGATGGAGACATGTGTCTTTCCCAAAGCCCTTATATCCATTTGTGCATCCATCTGTCCTAGTTGAGACTTTTGAGAATGGAGAAAGTGTTTCTCATTTTATGGATGGAATCGAAGGGAATGCTCGAATGAAGAAAGACCTTGCACACATTGGGACATATGCTTTCCTGAAGATGCTTCTGGTATGTGTGCATTTTTTAAAAAATTCTATCATTCCTTCTCTTTTCCCTTAGTGGTAGTGTTTGTGTCAGGTCAAGTGTGCTTCATATTATGCACAATTTATTGATAAAGCATTCTCCCTACTTCTGTAGGAGGACAATTTTATTCATGCGGATATGCACCCTGGGAACATTCTTGTCCGTTTAAATGAGAGCAAGCTTGCAAGGAGACGATTTTTCAGAGCTAAGCCCCATATTGTGTTTCTTGACGTGGGCATGACTGCTGAGCTCACACGATCTGACCGGGATAACTTACAACAGTTCTTCAAGGCAGTGGCTACTAGAGATGGTCGTACTGCTGCTAAGTGTACACTTCAGTTATCAAAGAATCAGAGCTGTCCAAATCCAGTCGCCTTCACCGAGGTAAAGTATGAAACTATGTTTTAGGAAAAATATCTGTAAACATTTAGGACTCATTTAAATCCAATGTCTTTTTACATATGGGATATTGCTGTTTGATGATAATGATGTTGACGATTGAATGGAAGTAGCTTCTTTTTGCATATGCTACACATGTACTTTATTTATTGTTGTGCCTTTTGACTGTATCTATCTTAAAATGTGGTGTCTCTCTTGATGCATATGGATGCAGACACTATTCTGTTAGACCCAGGGCAGTTCATCATGATTTTTAATAATTATACCATGATAGTATAGACAATAAAAATAGTCTCTAAAAGTTGAACTTGTGTCTTTGGTTACACAAATGTGACTGATCACTAGAGTGGCCGTTCCTATGCTGACACATGGATCTCTGGATCTCTGGCGCTAGCTTTGTATGGTGCATCATGTATTGCCCATCTTAATGTTCCTTTTCTGTTTGTTGGTTGTTTATTTTAATCCAGACTTTGACCAGTGCACTTTATTTGCTGACCGTTTCTTCTGTTATGCTGTACTATTGATGTGTAGTACTAATCGTAGTGCAGATGTTTTTTCATTGATTGACAATTTTAATTTCATTTTTTATAGGAGCTGGACAAGACGTTTACATTTTGGGGAACGCCTGAGGGGGATGTTTTTCATCCTGTTGAATGCATGCATGAATTGCTTGATACAATTCGCCGCCACAAAGTCAACATTGATGGCAACATCTGTACTGTAATGGTTACCATTTTGGTCGTTGAGGTAAACATCTTTGGTAAAAACAGTGATCCTGTGTTTTTCCTTTGCCCATCCAAAGGCCTCCTCATGTATTTTCCTATGGTTACAATTCCTATGGGATTAGAGAAACAAGGCACCTCAATTCCTACAATTTTCCTATTCCTATAATTTTCCTATCCTATGTTCCAAAGGGGCCTTAAACATTTAATCTTAACTATTATGCTGTGGCACTGCACAGAAGTGATTCAACAATATTTAAGTTTTACTGAAAAAAAGGCTACAGACTTCTAGGATATGCAGATTCAGGTTCCAGTTTGTGAAAAAAAGTACAATAATATAGCATGCACAAACTGACAGCTTAGCGACTCGTTGACAGACATTAATGGTGTGTTTGGTTTGTGGACTCACCCCATGCTTCATGAGGTGATGCATCATGAGTTCATCCCATGAATTTTGGTAGAATCAACTCATACCTCATGTCTATCCTAATTATTAGTCTGTGAGGAATGAGATGGTGATGGATCAACTCATTCCATTCCACAAACCAAATAAAAAAAAATGAGTGAGAAGATGGACCACCTCATTCCTCAAACCAAACACACCCTAATTTTCTGAATATCATTTACTTTTATTATATATTGTATTGAACTTCATTTTCGAATAAGGAAAGCAGTAGGAGAAACCTATGGATACTTCATTTGACCAAACTTCATATGATTCTATATGAGGGAGCATGCTTAGACATTTTGATGTGTGTTGTAGTTTGAATGTAGGCTTGTCTAAAGTATATAGGGTTGTGATTGGTTGTTTGCATTAGTCTTAGCCTTCATTAAACCCTATGCAGTATCACCCAAGCCAGCATAAAGCCATAAACATATGCAATGTCTTGGTGTTCGATTGTCCTGCGTAGGGAAGCCGTGTTTGGTGAAATTGTGTTTGGTTGCTTACATTGTGTTGCATGTAGTCACCTCCATGGCTCCATGCTCTAGTAGAGGTCTCATGTTTCTAATGGAGGTAGGGGAGCTGGGGAAGTGAGCCATCAGCTCGAGCAAATCCGCATTGCCTAATACGACTATGTTGCATTGGGCCTACTTTGAGCAAATGTGCAAGCTTACATAAGAGCTTTTGCGGGCAACCAAGCGTGGGCAAACTGCATTGCTCAAGCTAGGATACAGGCTAATGCAGTCAACTAAACAAGCCCGTAGTATCAGCTACCAATACCTTGGTTTTGTATGCTACTCCTTGCATACTAATTTGTTAGCCCTTGCCCATGACTAACTTTACCACAATTTACTTGTAGATGGATACAATATGCTTTCATGATAATGTTTCTGTAGGCTCTTGTCTAGAGTTTTGTGTGCTACCTACTAATTTGATCGCCCATGCCCATTATTAATTTTACCTCAATTTGATCATAGATGGATACACAGTATTCTTACATGCTAATGTTTCTGCAGGGGTGGCAACGCAAGCTGGACCCAGGCTTTGATATCATGCACACGCTGAAGACTTTACTACTAGAGAAGGATGTGAAGCAACCAATTGATTTTTTCTCATAAACAAACGATGTCAGGTAATGTTGATTCTTGTAAATAAGTTTTTTTTTGTTCGAAAATTTTCACCCAAGAAATTTATAGAGCAATTACTGCACCCAAGAGATGACAAATGATCCCATAAGAGGAATGCCATCTTGTTAGCTTTGTTGCTCGTCAAGGTTGGTTGTCAGAAGCTGGTCTGGTCACCTTATGTAGTTTGGCTGTGGCACGACATAACAAGAAGTCTGATACTCTGTGGGTTACTTCTAAGATCTGTTACATCCCAACAACCTGTATCATATGCATTCTGTACCGTCTTCAGAGACCCACTTGTACTTGGTGCCGTCGAGCTAGTAGTTTCTTTCTTATGTTCTTTGTTAGTATATGGCCATGATAAGTTGCAATTTGGTACATTTGGATTCCGCGAACCCAAAATTCTGATCCATGTTGCTTCTCTCTTCAACAGATCGTTCTTATGTATAGAAGCAGTGGAAGATGATGCTCTACCGATCAGAAGGCGAAACATCTTATCTAACTCGAAGCAACCTGGCATTAGTTGAGCAAATATACTATGCACTATGTTCTATCTCTCCTTTCTGATAGTAGATGTAGCAGAAACTGTCTGCACTAGGTTTCATTTTTGACAACCTTCAGTATGAAAATTTTGCCCACCACCCAGGCGTGTCCAGCCATGGGGTTCTCTAAAATTCTTCTAAAGTTCCTGTCCACAAACTCTATGGAAGGGCAAACAAGAATTGACTAGTCATTGATGCCGAGTTGAACTACATTGCATATAGCACACATAAGTTTGGTTTCAGACTTATGATTCGCACCGGCAACCATGCCATCTGATGTAAATTTTGGACCCAGAGAAGAAAATGCATGGCTGGCTAAAGTTTTGGTGGTCCGTTTTGAGCGTCTGGTGCGGGATGAGCCGTTATTGTTCCTTGTGCTCGCTGCCTTTTGTTGCTTCCCGTGTATCCTTTGGCCCGATGCGCTGTACAAAATCAAATCAATGATGGATGGTTGGACAGGACCGGAGGACGGTACCATGCCATGGCAGCTCGGCTTTTGCTTAGGGTGCCCTGGCTCTGGTGGCTGGCGGTCTGGCCTGGGCTTTCAGCATCGCCTTGACCTTCTGGATTGGGAATCTTGCAAAGCCGGCATGGCATGTCGAACAAACAGCGTGTACAAGGGACCACGTTTCGGGTTTCATGTCGAGTCGAGAAAAAGGAGGAATCCAGCTCTGCTTTGGTGCTTCCTGTATGCAGCTAGGTCGTGCAAGGTGGCTGCTTCCATGGGCTAGCTAGGTCGTGCGGCCCGGCTGGCGCTCGCGTACGGCGTTGAGCGTGAAGCATCGAGGGTTTTCCGGTGGAGTTAAGCCGGCCGATCTGAATGCCAGGATATGCACGTAGTACTAGGATCCACCACGCTAGACAGGAACCATCGAGGTTTTCTCGCAGTCGCAGTCGCAGTCGCACAGTCCTGGAGTCCCCGTTGCCGTCGGCCAGGAAAGCTGGACCTGCCAACAGGGCAACAGGCAAACCCATATGGGCATCCGGACGTGTGGGCCAGCTGCGGCCTCAGCCCTCAACTAGCTGTCTACTAGCTCGGTCGACCCTGGCATCAAGCGATGCTTGACTGACGGTCACTGCTGACCACGCAGCATTCGGTGCACTAGTCTGGCGTTCATGGTGCACCGTACCAGTTTAGGACCAAGGATGGTTGCAGCGAGAATTTTTTAGGTACAATCATGCATAGGTACACGTCCATGGCTCCACGCTAGGGTCACGTGCTGTGTTGTGTCCCCTCTTCGATCCTTGGCGGCGTTTTCCCAGTCAGGACGGGGTGGCCGGTTTCGCCGTTCCTCACGAGTCACGAGCAACCAAACAGGGCTCTGACGATTCAGACGTAGGCCTACAAGGGGCGTAGAGACTAGTCTGTGTATCTCTGCAGTGTACACATGCGTATCCAAACCCGTATGCCATAACACATGACATCCCCATGGACGGATGTGCCACACTTGCTGAGAGCCCTATCATTGCTTACCTTGTCAAATTTCGAGGAGCCCGGGCATCTCGGCCATCATTCTTGTCACCGCCCTCAAGCTTTCGTCCTCACACACCCAACCCAAGCAAAATAAACAAGCCCCTACTACCCCTTAATCCAGGCCAAGGCCATTGCTTATTCCCGTGGCGCTATAGACAAGTGTTTGCTGACCCTGGGCAAGGACTAAACAGAGCAGACCGCAGCTACCTGACAAACAGACACACATGCCATGCCCCTCCCTCTCCCTCTCCCTTCCCTTCCCTTCCCTTCCCTTCCCTTCCCTCCATGGACTGCAGCTGCTGCAGCTAGGCTTGCATTGCAGGCAGTTGCAGCCTGGCCTGCGTACGGGATGGATAGGATACGATACAATCATAGAATAGAATATCGCATGCAGTGTGTCCTGGTAAGGATCATTTTTATATATGACGATCAAAGAAAAATGTCATTTTTATACGTATGTAATACTCCCATATTCCGAGCTCACTAGCGTACTCAGCAAAAGGGTCTGGGAGAGAAGCTGCAAAGTAGAAAGGGCCAGTTCAAGTCTCAAAAGGAGGCAAATCCCCACAAGGATTCGTGCTGGACCTGGTGCTGTGCTGCTCATCATGCGGCTGTTATTGGTACATCGTCGTAGAAGTCCAAGCAAGGACCTGGCTGTGACTGGCTGGACGTACTATTCAAATGTCTTCGGTGCAAATGGCTTTTCTTGTTTCCAAAAAAAGATGAGAAAGGCGCCTATGGTTTGGATTGCTCGTGGGAGTACGTGGTCCTTGGCGCCGTCGTCGATGTCTGTTTAAATAAAGTGCAGGGATGTCATATCAGGGTGTCATATTAGAGTGTTTGATAGTAATAATAAAATAAATTATAGAAATTCATAGTAATCCGCGAGATGAATTTATTAAGCCTAATTAACCCATCATTAGCATATGTTTACTGTAGCACCACATTGTCAAATCATGAACTAATTAGGCTTAAAAAATCCGTCTCGCAAATTAGTCATAATCTGTGCAATTAGTTATTTTTTTAGTCTATATTTAATACTCTATGCATATGTCCAAACATTCGATGTGATAGGAAGTAACGGCCTGTTCGCTGGTTGGTTTCTGGGCTGATAAGCTCGGCTGGTGCTGATTTGTCGTAAGAAAAAAACACTGTTGCCTGACTAATAAGCCCTAACTGAAACGAAGCAACGGACTGTAATTTGAAGGGAGGAACTAGATAAGGCCCCACGAGAGCAAGAACAAGCACGGAAAGGGCAAAATCCTCGACTCGAGCCTTGGTGCAGGCTGTTGTTTGTGCTATTCCCTCTAACTCTCTCTCTCTCTCTCTCATCGGTGCATGCACAATTAGCGCAGACAAGTGGACAGCTTCTGCCGTCAGAGCGACCGAGCATGGCAGGCATGCTGACAAAGAGGCAGCGAAAGCCTTGCTCTTGCATGCGGCATGCCTCTCTCACTCTCAGCCTCTCAGGCTCAGCACCGGCCTTTTCCCGAGGCCGATTGCCCAATGCAACGGGCAATCCCCATTCCCCAATCAAAGCTCCGGCGACCGGCGGGCTGCTGGAGGGAGCAAAGAGCATGAAGATGAGCGAGCCCCCGTGACGGGCCGGTTCGTTCGACGGGACGGGGCAGGGACAGGACAAAAGCTGTTGTCCTCTCATTCCAGGCTTCCAGCAGCGCCGCGGAGCCCAACGCCTGACGCTGTTTGGCACTGGCAGAGTGGCACCCGTTCACGTGAAGGAGTTGGTAAGGCCGACGGGCGACGGACGGGCCCACCCGGAAAAAGGCGTTTCCTTTCCCAGTCTGTCTCGAGTCTGAACTGTGGACCTGTGACCTGGTGAGAGTGAGACCTACCACACCTCTGGCTCAGTGGCTCCGCCCGCCGACCTGCGGCCTGCCTCTGCGTGTATCTTTTCCTCGTCTTTGATTTGAATCCTGTTCCTCTCCTCAAAAAAAAAAAAAAGTCCTGTTCCTCTGAAACACCTCCGATGGCCGTGAAGGAAATGGCCAAATGCAGTGGTTTGATTACGTTTATCTGAAACAGCCTGGCAGGATTTGGTGTTGTGACAAAAGAATTGTAAGGCTCGTCGCTCGCTGGCCGAGTGTCTGTTGCTGCTGGAGCAGGGAATCACCCCAGGCGCTCAGCACTCTACCTGCCGCAACCGTCCTTTTCCTCCCTAATTATCAGATATACCACCGTCACTCAGACCGCCGTGCTTTGACGCCACGATTCCCGGCTCTTGTGTCCCGGTGACTCCCAGTGGCAGTGAGCATAAGAAAATGTTGTTCGGCTGTTCCACAGTTTCAGGCAGGGCTTTCATAGAATTCCTATGGGATTATAAAAAGCGCAGTTCGTGCCCGACATGCAGTTCGATGAGCCAATGGTTTTTAGCAGCCAAGCGTCGACATCGATGAGTGAGGCGAGGACAAGAACATTTTTGTTCTCCGACATGAGTGAGTCCGGGATTGGTCGCTGCTGCCCTACCCTGCAGTTTACAGCATGCCATTCGCCCATTCCTTCGTCCTCTCTTCTGCTTTTCGATCTTGATTTGACCCAACTGTTTGCAGCATCGGATCATCATGCCACGAAAAGAACACCTCCACGGGGATGGTAGTACCACTAGCGGCCAATCAGGATTGCCATCTCACGTCTAAAGGAATCCAATCAGAAGACTCGCCACAGCCCACAGGGAGTCACGGGCCAATCTGGCTATTCATTATTCTGCCCTGCAGACAATACTTTCTTTTTTTTCTCTCTAAAAGGAGGAGTTGCTATAAATCTTACACGATCAAACAGTACAATTAAAATGATAACTCATAATAGACAATTTATAATTTCTTTCTATAGCCAAAGTACCAAACAATGATACAATTGTATATTACCTGAACAACAACAAAAAAAAGAACTAGCACCTGAGATATATCAAAAGTGTTTTAAAAAGGGGAGAGATGCGCTGCAATTCGGGATGATCAGTA